TTCATGAGCTCGGAAAACACGTCATTGCGAGTGCGTTTTTTTCGCCTTCTAATCTGCGATAACCTCAGAGACGGAGATGATAGGGGGAGCGTAGAAACATTTGCAGCTGGGGGGAGATAAAAAGGGAAAGTAACATTGGGTTGGCTTCTGACGGCTTCTTAACATGTGGGAATGTTTTCAAACTGCAGGGCCCCACTTTCCCAGAGCAAGCAATGGGTTGGGTTTCACATTTAAAAGGAGGGGCTGCAGTATTTGGGTAGATGTGCATCACACACCTACCTCCACCCCACTGCGTGGTTATTCTCTGGGATGATCCCTTCCCCCCGCCATGTGGCTATTCTCCGGGATGATCCCTTTTAGCCAAGCATAAACAGCCCAGCATGAACGGGGTCCTTTTACTGTTCCCTTACAAAAATTCCCCTATTTCAAACAGGTGACCATGAACACTGTTGCTTTTAAACCGGTACTCAGCACACACCAATTTTTCCCTGTGGGTGCTCCAGCCCCAGAGCACCCACGGAGTCGGCGCCTATGGTCTGGGGTGCATTAGGACATGGCTACACATACAGCAGTACTGCAATGGCACAGCTGCACCGATGCAGCTGCAGCACATCTAGTGAAGATGTTCTGTGCTGACAGAAGCCCATCAGTGTAATAAAACCACCCCTGTGAGTGTTGGTAGCTATGTTGGCGGGAGAAGCTCTCCCACTGACACAGCGCTGTCCACACCAGCACTTATGTCAGTGTAACTTACATCACTCACGGGGGTGTAAGTTACATCACACCCCTGGCATAAACTGTGTAGTGGAGGCCAGAGTCCCCCCATGGCTCAGTGTTCTGATGTTAATCTGCAGCAGCTGGCCTGATTTTCCACTGTCCCTGCAGCTCTGGAGTTTCTCTGCCTGTAGAGAGTGTCAAACTGCCATGCTAATCGGTAGCTCTTCTCACCCACTTTGCCAGGTGCACATGATCTGCACAAGAGGCAGGCTGGGGAGAACCAAGCCTAGCTACTCCACAAACACATTCCCGTTTAACTCTTATGTCACATGTAATACACTGGATCAAGACTTTAGCAATACTTGCAGTACATCCCTGGAACTCCAAGATGGTATGGCCCATAAGTGGTTAACCCCCTGAGCTCATTAATTCACTGCATTAGCTGATCAAGAGTCACCCAACAGCAATTGTTCAGCAACAACTGCTATTACTCTTATTCCCCATTAAGGACTAAAAGGGAACCTAATGCAGGCACCTGGTGGAATTTTCAAAAGTGCCTAATCTGAATTTTTAGCTACCTAAATACCATTGAAGATATGGCCCCAAGGGGCAAATCCCAATCACATTGAAGACAATTTGAGAGTTTTGTCACCAACTCTAATGAGACCAGGATTTGACCCCAACTGTGTGATTCATATCAGAGATAAAAGACATTGCATCAGAGGGGCTTTGTAGAATCAGGTAATCCACTTGTACATACCTTCACACTGGATATTTGCAACCTTAGACCTGAGATCAAGAGCACACCCAACCTGCAACAAACAGAGAAGTATTTTGAAGTGTCATTCGATTCCTGCATTTGCCCAAATCCAAATAAGCAGAACTTTTCTGCTTTTTTAAGCTCTGCTGCTTTCATGATCTTTGCTACATCTTCATCACTGTTTTATTGTTCTTGAATTAATGTTTAACCTAAACTAGGTATGCTGGGAACCAGCCTTTTTCCAATAGCTTTGGGCTCTGCTACAACAGCTAACTCTGACACTAGTTTATGACACTATTTTCTGCAGTACCACCATGATCTCCAGCCTTTTGTTTGTATGCCAAAGTTATGTGCATTTTTGGAAGCAATTTGAGCTTTATGACCTTGCTTTTCCCCCTCCTCTTAAATTGTTCTTCTGACAAGCAACAGATTAAAGTGCTGTTCTACTCTGGAAAGTGACTTTGCAAAAAATGGTACTTTCTTGATGAATAAATCTGTTCCCTGTGTGTATTCAGAGGCAGAGCTCCTGAGAATCTATTGCAGGTTACGGGCAAGAAGGAAAGGAGCCAGCTTGAGTCTCCAAGCCCAGGTTTAGGGCCTGAGCTAGCAGCTCCCATTGATGTCAATAGCCAAAGTCCTGTTGAGGCCTCAGCTTGCAGGGCTGGTGGTTAGGAAAAAAGCCGTTTTCCTTCTGAACTAAACACACCTGATCCTGAGTCACTAGCATCAGCTTGTTTTAGGCACCAGGGTCCCTCCACTCCACACAGCTGTCTTTTTTTATTGGTGAAAGTTAAGCCATGGTGTGGAGGACATGGGGCTCTGTTTCCTGCATGAGTCATTTGACTGGCCCTCATTTGGGTCTTTGTCACACACATATTAAACTGATGTTTAAGACTAATTAAAAGAGAAGGAAACATCCTCCCCAGCCCCCGCCCGCCCCCCCCCAAAAACCCACCACAAACCAAAAAACCCTCCAAAACCCAGCCTGCAGTCACTTCTATATGAATTTTGCCTGTGGCTGTTCATTAGGCTCCATTCTCCAGTCATTTCTTTCTGGGCCTTTGTCTTTTTCTCCCCCCTCACCAATTCACAGTCCTGTTGACTGTTCATGTTCAGACATTGCTTCTTTAGCAACAGTGACAAATTGTAATAAATTGATTCTTCTAATTGTAGTCTTTTGGCTTCAGGTTTTTTAGGTTAAAGCATCATCAGTGTTTTTTAACTTTATGAAGTTTTCAGGCTGACAAATCTTTCTCTATCATGAGGGAAAAAGAAGAAAAATAACCCCTTAGAAAAGAACATTAGGAATCAAAATGCTTTTTTTTCCTTTCTCTCGCTAGTACAAAGATTGCAAAATACATGTGTACTCTGGAGCAATTATTTGCAAAACTCAAGCTACACCGTTGAAACAATTAAATTTAATATATCAGCTCGTTTCATCAGCAAAACTGTTCAACTCCTCTCAAGCCTCTAAAGACATAGCTCCTTTCATCAGCAATCAATAGGGTAAAAGTGACTTTTTTAGGCTGTATCTGGATGGTGGAGTCCTTCCACCACATCAGGAGGATGATGAGTAAGGAGTCACATTTATTTCCTTATTCAGGTAGCACAGGGAGCACATCTTTCTGGAGCTGCCCAGGGCACCCGGGGGGAGGGGGGGTAAGTGGGGCAATTTGCCCCAGGCCCCGCAGGGGCCCCCATGAGAGCTTTTCGGGGCCCCTGGAGCAGGTCCTTCACTCACTCCAGGGGCCCCGGAAAACTCTCGCGGGACCCGGGCCCCCAGAGCTTCTTCCGCTCTGGGTCTTCGGCGGCAGTTCAGCGGCAGGGGGTCCTTCCGTCCCGGGACCCGCCACTGAAGTGCCGGGTCTTCAGCGGCAATTCGGCGGTGGGGGCCCCCTACCGCCGAAGACCCTAGGCCCCCTGAATCCTCTGGGCGGCCCTGGAGCTGCCTCTTTTGGAACTATGGATGTCTTCATGGACAGGAAAAAGAACAGGATACTTGTGGCACCTTAGAGACTAACAAATTTATTAGAGCATAAGCTTTCGTGGGCTGCAGCCCACTTCATCAGATGCATAGAATGGAACATATAGTGAGAAGATATTTATACATACAGAGAACATGAAAAGATGGAAGTAGCCAGACCAACTGTAAGAGGCTAATTAATTAAGATGAGCTGCTATTAGCAGGAGGGGGAAAAAACTTTTGTAGTGATAATCAAGATAGCCCATTTTAGACAGTTAACAAGAAGGTGTGAGGATACTTAACATGGGGAAATAGATTCAATTTGTGTAATAACCCAGCCACTCTCTATTCAAACCCAAGTTAATAGTATCTAATTTGCATATTAATTCAAGCTTAGCAGTTTCTCCTTGGAGTCTGTTTTTGAAGCTCTTCTTTTGCAAAATTGCCACCTTTAAGTCTGTCACTGAGTGATTAGAGAGGTTGAAGTGTTCTCCTACTGGTTTTTGAATGTTATGATTCCTGATGTCAGATTTGTGTCCATGTATTCTTTTGCGTAGAGACTGTCCAGTTTGGCCAATGTACATGGCAGAGGGGCATTGCTGGCACATGATGGCATATATCACATTGGTAGATGTGCAGGTGAATGAGCCCCTGATGCTGTGGCTGATGTGATTAGGCCCTATGATGGTGTCATTTGAATAAATATGTGGACAGAGTTGGCATCGGGCTTTATTGCAAGGATAGGTTCCTGGGTTAGTGTTTTTGTTGTGTGGTTGCTGGTGAGTATTTGCTTCAGTTTGGGGGGCTGTCTGAAGCAAATACTCACCAGCCACCACACAACAAAAACACTAGCCCAGAAATGCAATACTTCAGGTGTGGCCTCACCAGTGCCGAATAGAGGGGAATAATCACTTCCCTCGATCTGCTGGCAATGCTCTACTAATGCAGCCCAATATGCCATTGGCCTTCGTGGCAACAAGGGCACACTGTTGACTCATATCCAGCTTCTCGTCCACTGTAATCCCCAGGTCCTTTTCTGCAGAACTGCTGCTTAGCCGGTCGGTCCCCAGCCTGTAACGGAACACGGGATTCTTCTGTCCTAAGTGCAGGACTTGTTGAACCTCATCAGATTTCTTTTGGCCCAATCCTCCAATCTGTCTAGGTCCCTCTGTATCCTATCCCTACCCTCCAGCATATCTACCACTCCTCCAAGTTTAGTGTCATCTGTGAACTTGCTGAGGGTGCAATTCATCCCATCATCCAGATCATTAATAAAGATGTTGAACAAAACCAGCCCCAGGACCGACCCCTGAGGCACTCCGCTTGATACCAGCTGCCAACTAGACATTGAGCCGTTGATCACTACCCGTTGAGTAGGGTTACCATATTTCAACAATCAAAAAAGAGGACGGGAGGAGCCCCACCCTAGCCCCGCCCCTGTCCTAGCCCCGCCCCCATCCTGTCCTAGCCCCGCCCCTGCCCCTTCCACTCCCTCCCACTTCCTGCCTCCTCAGAACCCCCAACCCTCCCCCCCACTCCTTGTCCCCTGACTGCCCCCCAGGACTCCACCCCCTCCCTAAGCC